GCGCGCACGTGGTTCGATCGGTGACTTTCAGAATCTTTAAAACCCATAAAGCCAATCCAAAAACACATACAATCTTTACCATGCCTTATGCAATCTACTTATAAGTTATAAATGTTAATCAGATACGTAGATGTATTTGACCTGAAGTCATACGTTTAAATGACACTAAGCATTTTTTTAATTCTTCCAATTAATTAAGAATGCTTAATGTATATATATATATATACACACAAAAATAAATAACTAAATTATTTTCAGTATTAAACTTCCACTATGTTTAATAATTTGGCAATATTTTCTGTAAAGAATTTAAATGAAACCATACTTTTACCTCAAATAGCATTTGCACAGCCAGAACAATATCCTGTTTAGATTTCACACAGGAAGTCACCGAAAGCTGTTCCATCTTATTATAGTACACAACCTAAAAAACCAGAACCGAACTAATACTCACACTGAACATGTATGATGATCAATACTTTTCTTTGTAAATTTCTACCGTATATTTCATTATACGTTAAAACATGCTAAGTACTCAGTGTTTAGTTACTTTTACTTACTAAGAAAAGTTTCTGCTATGCCCACTGCTTTGTGCAAGAGAACAATCAAAACAATTAAGAGACTATACAGTATTTGCTATATACACATTTTCACACACAGGTGATTTTGAAATTGCACTGTAGGCACAGAAAAGTAACTTTTCAAACAGATCATGTTTCAATAAATGTTGGTAATAGTACTGTTAACCTTTGACATCCACCGGTTCAAAGAAAAATACCAGGGAAAACATATGACAGTAAGATGTGAGATGTGAGATGGAACAATAATGTAAGCATAATAAAGTAGGCGTTGACGATTTTCTGCAGAGGTGGTCTTTTGTCGCACGACAGTGGTGCAGGGTGTGTGATATATATCGCCTGCGATAATATCGTAATTGTTGTTTTAGTGATGTGAGATTTGACATTATCAGTATTTTGCCAAAAAACAAACAAAACACTTCTACAGAGTGCCGTGAAGTCTAGTATATAGACTAATCGCAATGACTCACTTATTAACAGTGACTTGCTGACACCTACTGGCGGTTTTAATTTCACATTTAAAGTATCTTTTTGTTTTTTATTTTTGTATTTGTTTCAAATGAGTATTCAACGCTTTATGTCTTATATATCAAAACATTATTTCTGCATTTGTAACTGCAGGTTAAATGCATCCATGTCCTGCATTAAACAGTATGTAAATACACCTTAATGCCACTTCAGTATGATTAGATTAGCTGGATCAGATGTGTTTAATTAGGGTTATATCTAAACTGTGCAGGGCTGTGGCCCTCCAGGAACTGAGTTTGACACCCTTGGCCTATCCCATTTTTGCCTCCCTCCCACTGTTATAATGTAACTATGTAATTTTTTACTCTGAGTAAATTTTAAACGAGCTACTTTTTCACTTTTACTTGAGTAGATTTTTAGACTGGTACTTTTACTTGTACTTAAGTACAATTTCATTAATGTAATGGTACTTTTACTTGAGTAGAATATTTTCGCACTCTTTCCACCTCTGGTCGAAAGATCAAGGGAAATTAGATTTCTCAGTTCATGACACCTTTAAGATGTTCTGAGTGGTTTTTAATGCATTGCTGTATGGTATTTTGGGGGTTTTCTACAGGCGCTAGTATAGCCTTCTATGTAAATGCAAGGTATTTCCCTGTTTTATTTTTATTACACACCGAAATGTAAGGGTTTGATAAAACACTGTATGAGAAATAGTAGTAGAGGAGCTCACTAATCAGAGATTCAGTAACACACCATGAAACAAACACAACGTGTAGCCTATTCTGAAGCAAAAACTGAGGTCATGTATTCGAGAAAACAGAAGTAAAAGCCGATGTGTTTTTTGTTTTTTTTGGTGAGTATGCACCACTATTGATGTGACTGTGACCGCTCTGTGGGCTTGAACTTAACCTCTGTCTTCATTTGAACAGGATGTGGATTAGAAATGATATCTTGTGACTTCTCTGTATGTCGTAATGTAATGGCTGAACATCTGGACTTTTAAAACAAACTTTGTGAGGTTCATTTGTAACTGAGGAGCTACTTTGACCTTTGTCTGTCTGTCACCATCTCTACTATCTCTGCTGTTTGAGGTACTGTAAAAAGGCGATGTTGAAATGGGGATGACACATCTGGCGTCTTTTGCAGCGCCTCGCAAATGAGCGCCGCGTTTTTAAGATGCCGTGTCAAGTTAAAAAAACTAAAAGAATTTCAACTTTTACACGCAGCCTTGCTCATCATTAATGTCAGTTCCAAAGCAGTGGACCAATCAGTAGAATTTGGAGGCGGGGCAAGCAAGTTGGCATAACAACTGTTTTATTTGACGGCAACTTGGCAGAGGAGGCGCTCATAGTGGCTGTTCTTTTTTTCCATGTCAAAACTCGCATCTATCAATTCTGCTGTTTGGCTATTTCTATTATTTACGTTATTGTCGTTATTGCATCACCTCTCAAAAGCGCGTCTCGAGACACTCAAGTTCTACACTGCGCTTTAAAAAAAAAAAACATCCCTAAACACTGCGTCTCGCGTTTTTAGACGCAAAGACGTGTTCTGTGTGAATGGCCCCTAATGTTAGCGCTACTCTGGCGATTTTATCAGTAACATAGTTTAACAACTTAAAGGAGCAGTGTGTAAATTTTAGCGGCATCTAACGGTGAGGTTGCGAATTGCAACCAACGGCTCAGTCCACCGCTCACCCCTCCCTCTTTGCCTCCCTTTAGAGAAGCTACGGTGGCCGACACAGGTAAAGATGTCGTCGTCTGAGACAGCAGAGAGAGCAATGAGATTTCTTTACAAAGGTAAATTAAGGAATTATATTTACTTAATTATTCAATAAATCTGTCACGGGCAGGGTGTTCCAGAGATCAGGCAGGACGACGAAGAAAAGGATATTTAATGACATGACAACAGGAGATCCAGACAGGGTAGACATCAACACACAGGGTAACATTCACAATAA